GATTGCCAGTATATGACTTCCCATTCAACTTCAATAGTAACTATGGACCTATCTCTGCCAGTTTTGGAGATGAAAGGGAAGCAGTATATACAAAGTTTAGTTCATGGTGAAAAGTAGTCAGGCGGCTCAGTCCAAATTTTATCCAGAATTGTGCAAAAGATGATAAAAGCTTGAAATTTTCCACGATGAATGACCATTGGGTGTTTGTCAACCCCCCGATCCAAAACAGATGAACACCCAATGGTCATTCATCGTGGAAAGTTTCATGCTTTTATCATCTATTGCACAATTCTGGATAAAATTTGGACTGAGCCACCTGACTATACCGTACTGCACATTTTGCTTTCACCACCAATATGTACTTTTTTAAAGCGTAACTCGAAAACCGTTTGGAATACAAAAAAACGGAGACCACCCCCAGTGTTGGGCTTTACATGCTCTACAAAATGCAAAAAAGAATGGGTCTCTAGCATTAACGGTTCCCGAATTAGAGACAGTTTTCAGTTTCCGCATCTTATGGCCGCTACTTCCATGAAAATGCAGCGATTGACCCCAAATTCACGGAGATGAAAGATGACCTGAGGGTAACACTTTCCAATAATATTATTGGTTAAGTCTGTGTGGTGTCTGAATAACATGGCAAAAAAATTTTTTTTCGTAAAAAATTTTATTTTTTTGAAAATTTTGGCCCGTTTGACCTTGAAGTTAAGGTCAAAGGTCAAATCCAAGGGCATATTTGAAATCTACACATATGACTTTTGGAAAGCCATCTGTAGAAATTTTTCCCATAACCCCTTCCGAAGGGTAGATAATTAGCATTTAATTTTGCCATTTTTGGACAAGGGTGCATTGCAATGAGTGGCACACCCAGACCCCAATACGGACAAAGCCCAAATTTTACGTGGAACGAGTTGAGATTATAGGTGACCTAAATCCAAGAGATGGATACGGGGGCCCTTACCGTCTAGGAGGAGAAGCGGTAACGGTAGCCATCAGGCGGAGCCGGCAGAACGATCTGGACGGGACCGAAACCATGTGTACCGCCAGCGCTAACGCTGGTGGTACAATTAGAAATGTATCAGTGGGGAAAAAGAAATATTACTACTTTAGGTAAGATTACTGTAGTGAAGTCTTTAATTATTTCAAAAATAACACATCTATTGCTTTCTCTTCCCAGCCCTACCAAAGAGTGGCTGCAAAATTTACAAAATATGCTATTCAAATTTATTTGGCATGGTAAAACAGAAAAAGTTGCCCATAAAACACTTATTCAGGACTATAAACAGGGAGGTTGCCGTATGATACAGTACATATAGAATCCTTTGTGAGGGCACTAAAAATTTCCTGGATTCGCAGATTGATAACCTCTGATAAAATAACAAATAAACTTTTTGCTGAAGCCACTGGATCGGATGTTCAGAGATTGACTCAGTTTGGACCAACTTATGCAAAGGAAATATCTAAAATTCGCAATTCTTTTTGGAGAGAAATCTTAATATACTTTTCAGAATATTCAGAAAAAATGGCAAGTAATAGTCTCGATGTCATTCTCAGAACTCCAATCTGGTATAATCCTGCTTTATTATCAGACGGCAGAAGAATTTTTTATAAGAATTTGTATGACAAAGGTTTCCATATTATCCAAGATTTATTTAACAGCGAAGGGAAATTCCTATCATTTGACTATTTTGTAGAAGAGTTTGAAATTCAGATTCCTTTTACTCTGTATTATGGATTAAAGCAAGCAACCTTTAGTGCCTACCCTGTGCTTAGACTTCTGAATGCTAACGTTATGTTGCCATTACCGCAGATCTCTAACCCAGTTAAAACATTATGTAATGATAAAAAAGGATGTAGAAGCATATATGACATTTGCATAAAAAGTCTCGGTCAGAGACCAAAATGTGAAGAAAAATGGGAACAAGAGTTAGGTATCAAAATAGACTGGCAACTAACGTATAACAATGCCCTGGTTAAAGTTAAAGAAATAAGATTGAAATGGTTTAATTTCAGAATAATCCACAGAATTTTGGGTACCAAAGAGTTGCTGTTTAAATACCATATGATCGAGAATCCTCTTTGTAGTTTGTGCAACATACAGGCTGAAACGATAAAGCATCTATTTATGGACTGTGAATTAGTGAAGCTCTTCTGGACAGAGGTTGAACTATGGTTAAGTCAAATTACAGGAAATGTTTTCAAAATACTGCCATCTGATCTCATTTTTGGAAGTAGCGATAAAGTTAAAAACTTTGTAATTCTTCATTCTAAATTTTTTATTTTTAAAAGTACAAAATTAAATTCTAGATTGCTACTTAAACCAGAACTTAAATCTACTTTAATGAGTATAGCAAATCAAAACATATAGTTATTGTTTCAGTTTGTCTTTTTTACTTTTTATTAACTATTAGTTTACTTCTAATTATACATGTATATAAATCTGTACATCTTTGTTTGTATATAAATAGGGTGTACGTGCTAGTGTGTGTGAGTTTGGGTATGTGTGACTGTGTGCAGGAGCCTTTATTTAAATAAAATTAAAAAATTGTGATAAAAATAGATAAGTCACTCTGGTACACTTCAAATGTTATCAATTCCTTATCAATCTGAATGTTTAACGTACCATAAATAATTTAATTAATATAACATAGTATATTTTCTCTTAAGTGTGAGAGTGGGAGTGACTGTAGTTTTCTTTTTTGTACTACATATATGCTGTATTTGTGAAGTATTGTGTCAATAAAAAAAAAAAAANGCCTTTTTTACTTTTTATTAATTATTAGTTTACTTCTAATTATATATGTATATAAATCTGTATATCTTTGCTTGTATATAAATAGGGTATGTGTGAGTGTGTGCAGGAGCCTTTATTTAAATAAAAATTAAAAAATTGTGATAAAAATAGATAAGTCACTCTGGTACACTTCAAATGTTATCAATTCCTTATCAACCTGAATGTTTAACGTACCATAAAAAATTGAATTAATAAAAAAAAAAACTTTAAATGCAAAATGAGAACTCTT